CGGCGGGCACTTGAAGTTTTGTTTTAATTAAGGCGCATTAAGTGCAGTGTTTTATGGTACCACTGGGTGATGTGAAGCTCTAATTAAGGAAACTTTGGATAAATTAGATTTACGGTATGACAGGGCAAGGGAATATTGGGGATAGTTATCTGTTGGCTATTTTGTTATACCCCCAAAGCGGGTCGCTTTATTTCCAATCCAATCAGCAGCCTTTGAGCTGACGAATAGCCAAAATCTCATCACACTTTTCAGTCATTATTATAAAGAATCAAATAAAGCAAAGCTCTCGCATGTCATAAGCGTTAAATTCAATTTGAGTTTTACAACAGAGCCCGCGGTTCGGGGCTTTTGTTCGGTTCTGTTTGACAGTTTTTGCAGCGCACTCAATCAGCACTTGTTAGAACTTTTTAGTGTGCTGTAAAATAAACATGAGTATAGAGCTGAAATGAAATGAAATTTAATAAATGCAGTGCGCCAGAGGATGGGTAGATGGTTGAAACAGGAGTAGAGCAAAGCGACAGCCAGCCTGACATGCACTTCATAAAACTTTGCTCATATAAATTGAAATTGAAATGAAATGATGATGCCAGAGCTGCCACGGTGATATATAGTATGTGGATGTGAATGGGGGGATGTGAATGTGAATGTGGGCAAGTGAGAGTTGACAACCGGCGGAAGCTGCCTTTTTCCCCTCTCCCTCGATCCCCTGGCTGTAAAAATTTGTTGGCCAAACAACAAGTGGAGCACAGCCAAAGCAGCAACAGCCTGAAAAACAACTTAAACTGTCATTGCAAAGTTTGAGCCAAAAGCCCCGTGAGCCAGGGGATGGGGCATTAAAACTTTTGCTCTGAGCAATTATGTGAAGGCTACTTAACTTTTTTGCAGGCAATAAATTTGCTCTTTAAACTGAGCTGGGAGAGCACGCACCTGAGTTTGCTGCGACACAATTTTGTTGCACATTCGGTGTTTTTTCCGCACTTTTTTCTAGAGTTTGACAGAGCTATGTGCTGAAATTCAATTAGCCAGCCAAGCGTGGCCTGGTTTGGGCGGCAAAATGGAAGCAGTTTGCCACTTGGCATGCCAGACAGTTTTGGGGAATGCTTTGAAATACACGCATGCACACTGGGATTCAGATACACTCATTTGCTCATTGGTTGTGCGGTTGTGACAGGCTACCGATGCTGCATTTGCTGCTTCTGCTGCATGCTGCATGTGGCATACTTGCCTCAATTACGCCGAAAATGTCACATTAATTATTGGCATTTATGGGGTTTGCGCCGCTTTTGATATGATAGACGACAATGCAGGCCAAACATTTGAAGTCTACTTTACGGCGCGCTATTGTTGTGCTTGTATGCGTGTGTCAGCCGCGCAGAAATTTATGCATGTGTGTGTGCGTGTGCCATGTATTAATTGGAATTTGTTTTTGTGTGTCAGATGCAAGACGTCGACGATTCTGCTCTTTGTTGGCTTTTGCGGCAATTAAAAGTTAATTTGACAAAGCGAGACATTTCGAATTAATTTCAAGTCTAAACGACGCTTTAATTCAATTTATGTTTTTGGCAGCACAACTTGACAATGCCATCAATTGAGTGGGTCGATTGACTCAAGGTCTTCGATGGCGAAATCTGGGTAAATAGCGAGTGTATTCTTTAAGTTAATTGAGTTCCAGAGCGTGGCTCCCACTCCAATTACTTAATGACAGCCCACAGTGGCGGTGATTAGGCCGGAAAGCGCTCTAAGCCCAAAAGGGGCGCCCATTCAATGTCAACTTATGTCAGCAACAGGAGCATTCTGGAGTCCTCCTGGAGTCCTTTTGGCATCCTCCACACTCGTGCGGCTACTTATGCAAAATGCTAGACGACACCACCCGTTTGCTGCTCATATATACACGCACATGGGAGCTTTGATTGCCGGCGAACAGAGGGCGGTACAGTGGGACACAGGGTTCATTCAGGGGGGGAACGGAACAGTGGGCGACACACAATTGTGTTGATTGCACAGATGACAAGACCTAGGACGAGATGACAACTTTGCTGCCTGCCAGCCTTGATGACAATGAAGTGCATGCATGAATATTCTAATCAAATGAGCCGCCAGCCGCTTCAGACTCCCGGCTTCCAGCTCCTGGCTCCTAGCTCCTGGCTTCTACCTCCTGGCTTCTGCCTGTGGTCCTGCCATTGTCGAGATGTAAAATTTTTCGCCTCCGCCACATGGTTACACAAAGAGAAACGGGCTAGATCTTCTCTTAAAAAAACTACACATTCAAAAAAGTATCTAAAAACATAATAATATCAGAACTAAATAGCCTATCAGCCAACAAAAAGAAATTAAGCCATAAAGAAGTTCATAAAATGTATTTTGTGTGGTTAAATATTTACCTAAGGCAATAAATAATAATGATAAATAAAATTAATTATACCAGCTATTTGAAAATGGTCAATTGTATAATTTAAATTGCAAATTTAGCTCACTGTGATTTATCGAACATCGTAAATATATTTTTTTCACATATAACTTTATATGCTCTTTTTGAAAAACCTTTTTGTATGGTTTTTGTTCTGTGGCTGGGATGCACAATAAATAAAATTTTCATAATAAACAAATTAATAAAGTGTCATTGAAAAAAGGTGCTAATGGCCTAATAATACTTGCTAAGCTTTCGACTAAGTTACTAGATTGATTTAAAAAAGTAAAGGCAGATTGGAGAAAAATAGGTATAAGACTGACCAATGAATTTTAATACATATGTGCTGTAGATTGCCAAGACTTTTTATAAAAATCTATTTATTATTATTATTATTGATATCATAACCTTCTAAGATCGTAAATAAATTAATATTTTCTTGTAGTTCCTTGGCCTTTTTTTCAGTGCTGCGCCACATGCTTTGTGTTTTGTGCTGGGCAAAAGTTTCAAAGTCAGCCCAAGTCCCCGGCCAGAAAAACCTTTCCTTTACCTCGTTTCATTTCATTCACTCACTGAAATCGAATTTGCATAATTTAACATGATGGTTGCGCTTATTCCCGCAGCCTGTCAGGCGCACAGACATCGGTGTTCCAAGGATGTGGGGCTGGGTTATTATTGTTCGCCCTCGGATTCGGCGTCACCGCATTTCGCTGCCACATGCATCATCATTTGCATACATTTGCAGTTCGCCAAGTCAGTCAATGTTCATTCCTCATTACCCCGCCCTTCCCCATTTACCCCCCAGTAAAGTCGATTTTCTTTGAATATAATTCGGTGGGGAAAAGTGCGGAGACGGAGGGCATTGACGTTGATGGATTTTGGCACTTACACAGGCTAGCGCCTGTCACTTTTCCAACACCAAATGCGACTCCGAAAAAAAGGGAGCGCCAGTTGAGCTGACTTTGAAGCGCATTTTAATGAAGAATGATATGTTGGCATCGCAGCCGCAATTTTCCAGCCCCCCTCCCCTAAAAATTTAACCACATCGACTGACAGTTTTCGCGGCTTTGCACGCAGCCACTGTCGAAACTGAAGGGCGAAGACATCGACAACAAGTTTTCCTGTTCGACAGGAAGTCAAAAAAAAAAATAGGAAATGAAAAAAATAAAAATGAAAATTTGTATCAAATTATGTCGCTGCTTTGTCTACGATTCGTTTGACATTCCTGCATGGGCTGGCAAATAAATATATGCGTGAAATATTTCAGCTATTCAAATTTGTGCGAAAATTTCAGGCATCAATTTGATTGGAAATTGATGGCTGTCGTGAATCTCAGGACCCCACTCCAGGCTTTTAAAGCCTAAGTGCAGCTTTCCCCCCCACCCCATTCTAAAAACCACCCCTAAACAAATACAAAAGAAAAACACAGAAGAGTACACAAAAACAAACAGAAATAATAAATAAACCCCTGAACATTTGGTTTCCTATGCAAAGTGTCACATGGCCAATGGGCCACGCCCCCTTCCGACCGCTAAGGCCGACCGCCTCTGCCTTTTCATGCATATCAAAATGGCAACAATAAACGCCAACAAAAGAACAACAATAACAAACATTAACATGGAAATACACACGCACACACACACACGCAGTTGACGACAAAAGGCGGCAGTCAAAAATGTTGCAAATGTAAGCAAAATAAAAATATACAACAAAGACACAATTACACTCACAGACCGACTGTTTGCCAGTGTATTTGTGAGCTGTGTGTGTGTGTCTGTATTTGTAAAACCAAAACTTTTGACATAATAAAATGGAATGTTATTGTTAAAAAAGTTACTTGCATATTAAAACAAACGAAACTTCCCACTGCCTCTATCTCACTTTTATTTTTTCTGTATTTTTTTTATATTTTTACCATTTTGCCAGTGTGTGTGTGCGCGTATTTTTACTTGCAAATGCCGCATACAAATGCAAATGGCCGGCGTGTGAAACGAGCAGCACTGCCAAAAGCAAACAACTTTAATTGAACTGTTTACCCGATTTTTATTTTATGCCACCTCAAGGCCCCCAAACTGCAAACTCTGTGTAATTGTTATGGTTATGTTTGTGATGATTATTTGGCTCGTTGCACAGCTGCCCACATTTTTTGGCTGGGACATTATCAGTTGACTGGAAGCCAGTTTATCAGTTCGCAACCCACAGAGAATTTGCAACTAGGGTGGGGAGAAGCTGTACAAAATACTCTCTATAAACAGAAATACAGGGGAAACATTGCGTATACTTAATATTGCCCTTAATAACTTCCCCGCTAGGGTTTTGCACAAGCTATACGACAAAGATACAGCCGGGTTTTTAATCTAATATACTCTTAGCACGTCTACGGACAACCAAGCTAATGCCAAAAAACGTAACGATCAACAGAATCTTAAGTGTAATCATATAAAACTGGAAAATACAACAGATAACGAGCCGAACACGTTACGTATACTTAATATGAACAGTATCTTAGGTGGGGGAGATTCAAATGGATATATAGGCTGTAGATAGGTAGTAAATACTATATTTATTTATAAGAAAGATGGGTTGTACTCACCTTTGCTGGCACCGTCCGGGCCGCGAAGAATGGTGCACTCCTCTATAGTGCCGAACGGATGGAAGATTTGTCTAACATCGTCTTCGGTCTGTTGTTTGCTGAGCATGCCAACGAACAGCTTGCGATCTAAATGCTCTGTTTTGGTTTCGGGTTTGTTCATGTTTCATGTTTCATGTCATGTGATTCGATCGATCCGATTGAATTTGATTGATTACGATTGATTTACGATTTTGATTGTTGCACCAAAAGAGACGGCAAAATGGACAAGTGGCAATGTGTTTGTGTTGTTTCGTGTGATCGCATTTGGTGTTTTGTTTTTTGGTGTGTGAAAATGATAAGTTTTCAATCAAGAAGCCATAGCCAGAGAAAATTCGCATCAAATAATATTGAAATTCGAAAAATGAATACCGAAAATCAAAATATATATATATTCTCGACCATAATGTGTAAGTGTGTCGTATAAAGAGAGATGTAAATGCAACAGGGTTACACATTACGCAACATTTTTTTTTTGTAACGAGTAACGAACGCAGCAGGCACATTTACGTAATTGTTTTTTTGTTTGGTAAATTTGTTCAAAATTTCAACAGGCGCAAAATACCCAAAGGAAAGTAAAAGCAACAACATTTAGTTAAGAAGAAATTCGTTGGTGTTTGGGTGGATAGTTTGGGCACCAATAGAGCAAATACAATTACAACATTTATTAATGTGGTTAGGTTTCGTTTTTGTTTTTTTTTTTTGGGTGGGAAGAGGGAGTACAAATTTTGATTTTATAAGCGGAACGAATTTTGTTTTTTGTTGAAATTGTTGCATCAAGAAGGTAGAAATTTCGATAAGGAAAAAAACCGAATGAAATGAAAATAATACGAATAAGACCACAAAAAAAGTGAAATCAGTTTTAGAAAATAATAAGAGAAGAATTGTCAGTTTTCCAATTTTGCCAATTTTGATGTATTTATTTTTTTTTTTTCGTTTCAATCATATATATTTGATATAGAGCACGAACAAGTGTTACATAAAAAGGAAAGAAAAGAAGATAAAATGGGTGATATTTAGTTAAAATTGTCGTACAATTTGTTTTTTGTTTAACTTACAATTTACGAGAATTGAAATTAGCTATTCATAAGATACGTAATATATAAGTATGATATTTGTATGTATATATAGAACACACACACGCAAATCATCTCGCACACACAGACATACAAGCTGGCCACGCACAGAGCTACTGAGTTAAGGATAGACATTGAAAGGTAATTGAACACTCTATGCCACTACTTGAAAAAAGAATTGGTAAAATTACGGGCGAGCATGAGGAAATATATGGCTTAAAAGTACTTAGAGTCTATGGTTTAAGGTTAGTGGGTGGGTGAGCGATAGATGGTGGTGATCAGCAGGAGATTCTCTAAAATCTAATCAATATATCTACTGGTAAATGGATAAGTTGGCACAAACGGCAGCTGTCTCGACTGCCGCCTCTCAATTTCACATTTTCCATTTCTACTCCACATTTTTCGCTTTCCAAAAGCATATAAGCTGGATCCAAGGACACCACAATCGCACTCTCACTCGTATCATATCGAAAATTGAGCGTCACATAATTGGCAAAACACTTGCCACAGACAGCACGGCCAAGCCAAGCCAGTCCGCCCCAGCTGCTGCTGCTGTCGCGTTAAAGTGGCAAAAGCAATCGAAGTAGAAAATAACTAATACGACACGTTGGCCCCATGCACACACATGGCCTGCAGGCAATTGTCTTGTGTCCGGGTTAAGCCTAATGGCATTTGGGTTCCAGGTTCCTGGTTCCAGGTTCTGGCCACTCTCTCCTTACCCTCCCAAGCACGTGCAATAAGCCAAACAACGCCCCTGGCATGCTAAACAACAACAGGAATGGGGCAAAAGTGGAAGGGTTGGCTTAATAAAAATGTAAAGCACGTTGAAACGGAGGGCAGGACAAGGTAAAAATAGTGCAGCATACTTTGCGGCGCCTGCTGTTGTACATATGAAATGGCATAGTTCAACTGGCTGTTAACAGTTGCGGCCGAGCCGAAAAAAAAGGGGGGAAAAAAAGGTCAGGAGGTGGCAGGCAGGCAGGACAAAAGGATTTGCACAATGTTTAGCCTGGCGTTGCAGCAATTTTCTACAATTACCTGGGGCACAACGACACAGACCGGCAGGGATAAAATGCACACAGGGCTTTCAGTGATTCCCTTTTGCTTGTTCTCCACTTCTATACTTTCTTTTTCTTTTTTTTTGGTTTTTACTTTCTTTTTTTTCGGTCTCTGAGCTAAAGGAAAGAGCAGTGAAAATAATATTAAAGGCCATTAGGCTCATATAGACAAGTTAAGTGGCTCCTGGTCTGGGTCCTTGGTCCTTTTGGTCCTTTGCTCCTCCTGTGATTCCTTTGCCCGCCATGTGTGTGTGTGGCAGTTTTTAGATTTTATTTTTATGCCTGCCCGGGCAAAAGAAGTCATTAACGTGTCGTTGTCTTTGATGCCAACAGCCAAAGTGAAAGGGGGCAGTGCGGCAAGAAGAAAGCCAAATTAAATTAGCTAACCACATGGCAACTTTTGTGCTATACATGTGCTGCGCCGGCAGACGACGAGGACAGGCCACTAATTGTTGCACGTTATGTTTTTGCTTATCTTCCCATCCTGGGGATCCCCTGGATACAGCATCCAACAGCCAACATCCAGCTGCATCTTCAACGCTTTTTCAAACCCCTCCCGGGGGAGAGTAATTGTATTTTAAGTCCTGGCCAAAGGTGAAAAAGCCAGTCGCGTCTATGAATAATACAAAAAATTGTGGAGACAGCGGCGCCAAAGGATAAATAAAAAAAAAGAGGGGAAAAAACTAAACACAAAGTCGCTGACAAAGCGAAAGTCAAAGCTCAAAGCTCATGTGTCCCTGAACTCCCTCCACAGATCGTTTTCCCTGACGTTTTTTCACTGTACTTTCTTTGAATGGCTGGCTGGCTGAGCACTGTTGCCAATTGACATGTAAATTGACGTTTAATGGCTGCTAATGAGCGTCTGAGGATTAGTTCTTCTTCCCGGCTAGTGTGAGTACCCATTTGAATATCTAAATACATCGTAGATAGAGGAGTAGATAGATCTCAGATGAATCAGGTGTGCGTATTATGATGGAATTTCTCTATTCAAAAGCTGACTTTGCTCCAGGGATTACGTTCAATCTTGTGAAGACTCTGCTATCCTATTGCAGCTAATAAATCATGAAACAAACAAATAAATACTCCATTAATTTTCACAGCTTAGCCAGCATTCTGTGAACTAACTGAGCTACAAATGAAGATCCTGCCGTAATGCGACCAATTCATATCTGCAAAATGTTTTAATCTGATTATGGCAGATAGCTCAAACTGCTATGTAAATATGTTTAAGTTATTAATTATTTTGAGGGGATTTTCAAGCTCTCCGTTATAATTACAAAACTTTGTGGGAGACGTCTTGGCATAATATTTGCTTGGCAAAAACTGATTGAAAACGAAACCCCCGAATCAACCCCCTGAAATCATAGCCTGTATCCTGTATTTATGTGCTTGTATCTCTTGTCTGACCACGTTTATTTTGCTATAAATTATTGAAATTCTAATTACTTAGGCAGGAAATGGGTAAATGAGCACCAAATCGTATACTTAATGCTGTGCAACTGGCTCTTCACGTTGATATGCCCGATTTTCTTAGCAGCTTGTAATGAAAATTTAATTAGAAATGTATATATATATATATACATTGATTTAAGCCTAGAGTAAGTAGTTTTTCATTTGCATTTTTCCAGATTTTATTAGAGCCCTCTTCTGCTCGTTGTGATTGATGATGTGCTTCGTTTGGGGAGTGTGAGGCAGAGTGACTGGTAAAAGGAAACTAATTAATATGTAATTAGTGACACTCATTTGACATGTAACGAGGCTAATGTAAAAATATTCCGGAATCTCTTCTTGGGATAAAAGAAGGGGTGAATTTCAAAGGGAGTGGGTAGTTCATCCTCTTCCAAACCTTTGATTAAAATGTAAATTACTCCGCGTGCAATCAATTCTTCTGCCATATGCTCAAAGCCCAATCTGGGGCATCAGCTGTGGCAAATGTTATGCTGCCCCATCAATATTGCCCTGAATTGTTGGCCAAGTGTGCCTGCAGGCGCTACTGGATAGTCGACAACATCCCATTTTTATGGCACCCAGACAGTCTGAAAGTCATCCCCCTCCGAAAAAAGCCCGTGGAGGTGTCAGTATTTATATAGCAAATAAGCTAAATGCTCCCTTTATGAGTCCCTTAGCAAACAGTTGGTGTCGTCGCCCGACAATTGTGTGGCAATTGTCAAAAGTCTCCCCTCAGTCTTTTGACGTTTAAATATGGCTAGAGATAACTCAGCTTCCACAACAATTCCCCAGTTTTCCCGTCTTTTTGTTGCCATTGTGTCGCGGAATCCTTTGGACCTCCTTCCGGCGACTTTTGAGCCTTCGAGTTTATTTGTCAGTTTGAAATTCTTCCGTAATAAGCGTAAAACTCGACTATAGGCTGGGGACAAACTGGCTGAGAAGCGAGAGCCAAGCCAAAGTTAGAAGTAAATTAGTTATTAGCCTTGTAAGTAGTTCAAAAGTTAAGCCAGCTGACAGTTCAGTTTCTGAGCTTCGGAGTTTCTGGGAATTGGAAAGGGTCTAAAAAGGAGTCGCTAAAATGCGCCTAATTGTTAATTAGTGTCAGCGTGAATTTGCGTGCGGCTGCAGTGCCAGACATTTCCATAGTCACATTTTTAGGCACAAAAGTTTTCGTTCTGGCCAAAAGGGCCAAAAGTCAAAGGCAGACCGAGACCGGAAATAGGAAGAGGGCAGAAACTTTGTCTTCGTTGCTGTGGTATTGAAGTGTTAATTAATATTGAAAGGGATAAACTTTTGTCTGACTTGCTGAGTAGCGAAGAAAGCACAGCCATTTGGGGTTGCTTTTAAAAGAAAAAATTACTAACAAAAAAAAAGAATTACTTTAAGATTGAAAAGGGTTTTCATTGGGTAATTGAATCACCTTTTGAACTATTAAAAACTCCAGTATCAGCCGTATTTTAAACGTGATTCGTGCCTTCTTCTTGGGACACAAAACATTTGCATTTCATTTTGCAGT